ACTTATTGTTGGTTATGAGGAATATTTGTATGGCTTTAGTTTTATTGTTTATGCTTTTTTTTGCCCTGAAGCGAAATCCACATAATCCAAAATTTTACTTATACAACTAGAATGCAATAATTATAATAGTAACAAATGTGGGCAAAGATGTGAAGAAACTGGAATTTTCCTACACTGTTGGTAAAAATGGAAAATGATAGAAAGCAGATTTGGAGCTCCCTAAAATGCTCGAAGCATTTTCAATGTTTCAGTATTTTCAAGCAGATTGGCCTCAGATTGGCCTCATGTAGCAAATGATCAGGTGAAAGCTGGCTTTCAGTTCTCCATTTTGTTTTGCTTTTAGCCTCTGTGGATTCCTTACTAACTTTCCAGCTCATTAATGCATTTGAAAAGATTTGTTAAGACGATTTCATCCAGCAATAACAGTGCTGAGCCACACTGCCAGAAACTGAAGTGTTATTTGTGTGATCGAGGAAACCCATGGATATCTGACTCGGGAATTCTAGCTCTGCTTCCACCTCTTCCAATTTCCTTAGCTCCTTTCACGGGCAGTTAATTCCTCAGACTCTTACTGTTGGGGACCATACCACTTCCCCTGCCCAATCTCTGGGGCATACATCCCAATTATTTCTAGTGCATTCACTTACTATGCAAACAACAGTTCAGCTTCCTTCCTTAGACTCAGAGTTGTCCTCTAATTCCCATTTCCCTGGCTCCAGGGAGACATTGGCTTTGGCAATATAAACACCTCAATCTCTCCTGGACACTCCCAGTGTTTGAGTGTTTCTCTTTCTCACATACATCTTGGGCATAGGGGGAGGAACACTGTGCTCCACCTATGTGAAGGCTTACTGTCCTGAGGAATTCTTCCTATGCTTTCCCACCTCAGTCTTCTCACATAGCCTAGGCAAGAGGGGTATCAATGAGAGAACGGCTAATGGAAGCAGGGTAAATTCAGCATCCAGCCTCCTTTTGCACGACTTGAGGTGTCTAGCTGCAGACATTCAGAGCCTCATACTCTTGCTGCTGGTGCTCTACCACCTGAGCCATGCCTCCGGCACAGCCTTTTGCTCACTATTTTGGAGACAAAAGAGTACTGTAGGCTGGCTTCAAACTATGGTCCTCAGATCTCAGCCTCCAGAGTAGCTAGGATTACAAATCATGAACCACACAGGTGCCTGGCTCAGTCACAAGCTTTTGACAACTACTTAGCATATGGACAGTGGTACTGCAGAGGCAGAGTAAGAATATAAATAATAATGCTTTGGGAGAAGCAGTACGGGAGGAGCTTCATTGTGAATGCTACTGCAGGAACCCTAGTAGGGAAATGGTCCCGCCCACCTAGTCTCCCCTCTTCTCTGGCAACTGTGGGGAGAATTAACACATGATGGACATGGAAAAGCGCTGAAGAAGCTGTTTAGACAAGACTCCTGTTTACACACACACACACACACACACACACACACACACACAGAATTGCACTAAGTATCAACTGTACACAATATAACAAAGAAACTCCCTCCCACCCTCCCTGTCACTCACTGGCCGTAAGTCAGGCCATCTCAAATGCACTCACACAAGAGCATGCTCAGCAAGAGGAAAGCTGTCCTGTGGGGTTGGCACAGTCTGTCAAGGGAGAGCAAAGCTATCACTGCTCCAGCATTAGTTGAACATCCCTAGACAAAAAAAAAAAAAAGATGGTACTTGCTAATTGCACAGCAATATACAAGCTCCAAGCTCTATGCCCCAAGAATAGGCCTAGTCAATCACAATGTTCTTACACAAACAAGCACTTGATCAGGCTTTGAAGTGGAATTCGGGGATTCAAAAAAGGGGAGAAAATAGCCCCAGGCATAAAAATCTGTGCCTACTTCCATAAACCAAGTTTTAAGTTATTTCCTGAGACAAAAATTAAAATGAATCTATAGATCCACTCATCTGCATCTTTAAAACCTGTCCAAGGCTTTTGCATACACAAAACCAATGAAGGAATGAGAATCCATAGATGGCCATACATGGCTTCTCAGGACTGGATGCTGGATGGATTGAGTATTCTAGAAATAGTACCTAGCCGGGCACCGGTAGCTCACACCTGTAATCCTAGCTACTTAGGAGGCTGAGTTCTGAGGATCATGGTTCAAAGTCAGCCAGGGCAGGAAAGGCCATGAGACTCTTATCTCCAATAAACCACTCAGAAAACCAGAAGTGGCGCTGTGGCTCAAGTGGTAGAGTGCTTGCCTTGAGGTAAAGAGCTGAAGGACAGTGCCCAGGCCCAGAGTTCAAGCCTCACAACCGACAGCAAAAAAAAAAAAAAGAGAGAAAGAAAGGAAAAAAGAAAGAGAGAGAAAGAGAAGGAAAGAAAAGGAAAGGAAGGAAGGAAAAGAAATGGAAGCTTTTAAGAATTTGGGTGCCAAACCAACCCAGATGCCCCTCAGTAGATGAATGGATCAAGAAAATGTGGTATATATACACAATGGAATTCTATGCCTCCATCAGAAAGAAT